GGATATAATTCATTATATGGGGGCTTTCACATAAGTTAAGCCAAAAGAATGGGAAACATACTACTTTTCTGATGTGATGTATTGATGCTGTTTGAACTGCGCTGTGAATGGAAAAGAAAGAGTTTCTAGTGTGTTTGCTTGTGATGGTGTGATTTTTGTTAAGCCTTGGGGCTGATTTACCACTGTGTTACTCCCGTTTTGCACCATCTAACTCCACAGATTTCAATGGAGTTACACAGTGGAAAACTGGAGTAACACAGTTGTAAATCAGGTCTCCAGTGGTTATATATATACTAAGGATCTAGCTCAGGGATCAGCAACCTTTGGCACGCAGCCCACCAGGGTAAGCACCCTGGCAGGCCGCGCCGGTTTGATTACCTGCTGCGTCCGCAAGTTCGGCCGACCGCGGCCCCCCCACTGGCTGCCGTTCTCCGCTCCAGGCCAATGGGGACTGTGGGAAGCAGCGGCCAGCACATCCCTTGGCCCGTGCCGCTTCCTGCAGCCCCCATTGGCCTGGAGCGGCGAACCGCGGCCAGTGGGAGCTGCGATTGGCAGAACCTGCGGACGCGGCAGGTAAACAAACCAGCCCGGCCAGCCAGGGTGCTTACTGTGGCAGGCCGCGTGCCAAAGGTTGCTGATCCCTGATTAATATTCGTGAGCATGTTTACTTTGTCTTGAATTTTTCTGAAGTCATCTGACACTATAGGAAAATCGAAGAGCTATAGCCTAATAGTAAAAGCTGTCATGCTATAATATCCAAGGTTATGGGTTCAAAACATCAGTGTGCTCATTTTTAAAAATTAAGGACCATTTGTACTGAGCTTATTAGTCCCTTAATTTGTGGGACTTCATTCTTCTCTCTCACTAATTTTGCACTGTTGTAACTCCATTTATTTCATTGTGGTTACTCCTGATTTACACCAGCATGAGTGCAAAGAGAATCAGGCCAGCAGTTTCTATATAATTCTAAAATGGTTAATAGTTAGTACATTACATATAAAATGCACCATAATAAAACTGTGCCTTCATATGCAACGTTATAAACACCATCCTCTAGTCTAGTCCATACAGCCTTGTGGCTTAATGTAAAAGTCACAATGAGATTTACAAAGCAAGTCAAATTTGAAAATATTTGTTTGTTAATTTTAAACTGTTCGATTTGTAAATTAATTGAGCTGAAATTTATGAACTAAAACCCCACATCTATTTAACATCTGACTAAACACTAGATGGCTTTAGTTAAATTCCTCTTCACTAAGTGGAAGTTCTGCCAATACTGCTCACTAGATTATGCAAAATCAATTTTCATAGATATTACCCAATAAAACAGCTGCCCCAATGTAGCATATCCCAATTAAGTAGGATTACAGTAGTAATATTTTAGGCCCTGACTATTCAACAGGATCTATGCAGATTGGCTCCTGCACCTGCGTAGAGCCCCACAGAAGTCAGTGGAGTGGCATGTGGGTACATCCATGGGAATATCCATTTGCAGGATCAAGACCTTGCACTGTAAGTTTGTCAAAGCATTGTAAGCAGTCAAAAAGGCTAACAGTATGTTTGGATCTATTAGGAAAGGGGTAAAAATAAGACAGAAAATATCATAATGCCACTTTAAAAATCCATGGTGTGCCCTTGAATACTGCGTGCAGTTCTGGTCGCCCCATCTCAGAAAAAATATAGTGGAACTGGAAATGGTTCAGAGAAGGGCAACAAAGATGATCAAGGATACAGAACAGCTTCCATATGAGGATAGACAAAAATATTAGGGCTGTTCTGATTAGAAAAGAGTTGACTAAGGGGGGATATTATACGTCTATCAAATCATGAGTGATGTGGAAAAAGTGAATAGAGAGGTGAAAACTTTACTCTCTCAAACAATACATGGCTGACCTCAGGCACAATGGAACTCTCTACAACAAGGATAAAGCTTGTCTGACGGGGAGAAAGAGTTTTCTCTGGGGTCAGTCCAGAACTGGAACAAACTCCCACAAATTTCACCAAACCTTCTGTTCCAAGTGGAAGGCACCTTTCTTCGACATGCATTCTGTAACAGAAACACAGAGCAGTGTGTGTATTTAAAACAGAAACCGAAAAAGAACAAAACCTAAACTGCACACACAATTCCCCCTAGCCCTCCCTCCCACCCCTGGGGGGAAGGAGAGGATGAGGGAGAAAACAAACCACATGGCACACATTTGTCACATTGCTTAACATGATACTGGAAGAAGGTCAGATGCTACGGAGTTGAGAGCAATAGAAGAACCTATATGGAATAGAACTGAACTATTCTAGGATCTTTCTCCTTCCCTTTCCTCTATAAAATGGAGTTGATACCCACCTCACAGTGGTGTTGTGGAGCTCAATTAATGTTTATAAAACATGTTAAGATCTTCAGATAACCTGGTGACCTGAGGAAGGGAGCGTTGTGCACAAGGTGAATGATTGGGGGGAGGGTGTCAGTCATAGCTTGTGACTAGGCGGCGCTGCTGCCCACTGCCTCCTCAGCCCAATTTCTCTTTTCCAGTCCCCATTTCGCCCCCCTATCTTTCCCTTCCATGCTTCCCCCAGGGCTCCTCTTCAGAGCTACCTCACTCCATCTTCTCCCTCTTGAACCCATTTCTCTTCCACAAGGTACCACATCCGCTTTATGCAGCTGCAGGGGCAACAAAAAGTAAATGTTTTATTGTGGGACTGATGAGGTAATTAAAGGGGTTCAGAAGAGGGTGAATAAATATGTGACTCTGGAGGAAGAGAAAGATGGGGGAAATAAATTGGTCAGGGCTTAGGCAGTCTGGAGGATAGGAAGAAGAGTCCAAAACTGGTGGATCTGGGTCTGCCCTGACTATTATTCACCAAATAATCCTCTCTTTATCCATTGACTTCTTGCCTGTTCAAGGAGGCCCCAGCAATAACACTTTGGGTTGTTCCAGAAGGAGAAGCGCCATGTGCAACAGAAATAAGGAGGAGTGCCTGCAGAGGAGGTGGAAAAGAGGTTCCATCAGTCCCCCTAGCCAAAATATCAGTCCAGCTCTGTGCGATGCTGCGAAACTGGAAAAGATACACTGAAGCACTCAATGCCGGCAAAAGAAGGGTCTAGATGGGGCTAGTTCTCATTATACAGTGGCACAGCCACCCAATTTTGAAGTCAAATGGCTTTGTATATTCTCAGAGTGATGCCTGTGGAGCAGCATATGTGGGACAGACAGAGAGCATGATGACCCAAACCTACCCAAGTGCTATTATGTCCCTTAGAATGCAGGACGCTTGAAAGGTGCAACACAGTAGTGTCTTTCAGACATTGTATAGCATTATGTTTTCTGGCCACAAATCATGTCACTCCTAGAAAGCTGATTTGTATTATTTAGATCGGTGGTTCCCAACCTGGTCTGTAGAGCGCTTGCTGGTGGTCAGTGATGAGGTGGCTGGTCACATGGATCTAATTCTGCTCCTTGTTACCACCAGCTAAATTATATTTAAAAATAGCTAAACATAAATTAGACATTGTCCTAATATTAATTTTCCATGGAGTAATTGGTGCAGTTGCTGCAGGACTAGTATGTGATTGTGAATGAGAAGGTGGACAGTCTGCGTAATTGTAAATGGGAGGGTAGACGGCTGTGAGATAATCCTCTTAAGATGTGATCCACACTGCAAACGTTGGAGTGTCTCTGATCGAGAAATAGGGCCAGAGTCTCACCTGGTATAAATCAGCATAGCTCCACTGAAGTCACATCAGCCCTGGCCCATTACATTTAGGATTATTTTTTTTTAGCCATAAAAGAGAACTGCATTTGTCATAACTCATAACGTACAATATATTTCTGACTAAGTAACAAGATCCTGCTTTTTATTTCTCACTGGTATTCCACTGTAAGTAGGTCACGGAGAACTTGGAACGTGAATTGAAGATGGCTTGTCTGGAATTACTGTGTTTATTGAAGAAAAGTAGATTTCTAGATAAGATATGCATAGCTAATCCTAAATAATAGCTGGCTTGTGTCTCACACTGGAAACAAATTTCAAGAATGGTTCTATGTGAAAATATGATCCAGAGCTATGGAGTCCTAGGGTGAGGTGCTGCGTGCATACGAGAGTGCATTAAAAGCTGCTAGGAGGGACTGATTTAATTTGTGTACAAAGGCCTGTGGTGTTCACATTCCATGTTTAAAGTTCTATTCCAGGGGTCGGCAACGTTTGGCACGCAGCTCGCCAGGGTAAGCACCCTAGCGGGCCGGGCCAGTTTATTTACCTGCTGACGCAGCAGGTTCGGCCGATCGCGGCCCCCACTCACCGCGGTTCGCCGTCCTGGTCCAATGGGGGCGGCGGGAAGCGGCGCGAGCCGAGGGATGTGTTGGCTGTGGCTTCCCACCGCCCCCATTGGCCCGGGACGGCGAACCGCGGCCAGTGGGGGCCGCGATCTGCCGAACCTGCCACGTCAGCAGGTAAATAAACTGGCCCGGCCCGCTAGGGTGCTTACCCTGGTGAGCCATGTGCCGAACGTTGCCGACCCCTGCTCTATTCTGTATAGGTTATTGTACTGCCTTCATCACTATAGCATCTGAGTGCCTTCCAAGAATGCATTAAATGGCAAGACTAACATCTGTCATGTTAGGCACTTAAATATATATTTAAGCATCTAAATAAGGGGGAATTGCAGGTGCTCATGAGACTCATTTAGTTGTCACCATATGGATATAGGTACCTAACTTTAATCACCCATGTTTGAAAATAGTAGGTTAAGTGACTTGGCAGAGGAGGAAGTGCCGGACATGGAGTTGGACTGTAGCAGTTCTTGACTCTCAGTCCTGTATTCAGGCCACTAGATCAAATAATGTTCTGCCATGGACTTATTTCATTGCCATGAAGATTGACTTGTGTGGTAGATATGGAGCTTTTAGCTTCTTTTCAAATGCAAAATACATTAAAAAGTACCATTATTTCTAATGCGCCTATGTTAAATGTACAAAATCAAATGTACCTAATTAAAACATTTGTAGGTCTGGTTTAGTAACCGTCGTGCTAGATGGAGGAAACAGGCGGGGGCCAATCAACTGATGGCTTTCAACCACCTGATCCCAGGAGGATTCCCACCCACTGCCATGCCAACCTTGCCAACATACCAGCTATCTGAGCCCTCCTATCAACCCACCTCCATACCACAAGGTACAGTAGGGGACAGATGTTTCATTTAAACGGCGTTATCAGTGGTTTTCCATGTAAACCCACTTTAGAAACATTCTATTCTTCAAATTTTGAAAATGGTTTGGATGAATGTAGGCCTCAAGACAGCAAAACTCGTACATTTAACATGTGACTATTCCCATTGGCTTCACTAGCTTGTGGCCTGATTGCCTATGAATGGTGCCAGTGCCAGACTGACAGTCTTAGCTTGGATACTGAAGTCCCCTATCCTTGGGAGAGGTACAGCATTGGCAGGGGTTGTGCAAATGTCCCCATCCTCTCCCACCATTATGTCTCAACTCTGCCATGTCCCAGTGCATGGTGGAGGATAGGTCGTCAATCACTATGTTCATTCAATCTTCTCTGTTGCTAGTGACAACTGCCAACTGGAAATTTTTATGCCTGATATGTGTCCAGTAGGAATTGGACTGAAGTCACCAACCACCTCACACATGTACTGAATAGCCATCAGATGATAATAAGTTCCAGTTGCTACTAGAGAGGGGGTCCCAAACATATTGATGGTTTGGGAAAAATGGAACTTAAATACAGGCTACTCCTGATTTTGATCTTTCAAAGGTAAATAATACCCTGTCTGATAGGGTATTATAAAACCAGGTCCCTGCCTCCCAAAGCTTTGTCTATTATAGAAGTGGGAGAAATCTGCAACTTTTTATCTAAGCCTCCTACCTGCTAAACTTCAGTGATTTGGTTAAAATGAGATCTGGATCCAAACCAGTGGTGGATAGTTTTACCAAACCAAAATCTGACTACGGAAATTTTGCAAAACCCCCAACTTGTCTGATCACTAGTCACTACCAACCTGAGCTGAATTCCTACTGATGAACTGGGGAGGAAAGAATATATCCTGTCTATTAGAAGAGCATACGCCCATTATGCATCATGTGAGAATCACATCTGCATGTAACTTTCACAATGTAAATGTGTCATGTAGGTCTGACAGAGGCTTATGTCATGTTTTGTTTCATGTGTTTTTTTTTCCTCTTAGCCAGTTAAATATTGAGTAATGTTAAATATTCACCTTTGGTTTGGCTAATATTTACCTGCAAGTCCTGATCAGTTCTTCTCAGTGTTGAACTTTATACAGTGAATTTGTTATGTCAGAAAACTATGTGGAAAATGTATAAATGTGTTCCTTTCCCTTCTAGCTGTGTCTGATCCAAGCAGTACAGTCCACAGACCTCAGCCGCTTCCTCCAAGCACTGTACACCAAAGCAGCCTCCCTTCAAATCCAGAGAGCAGCTCTGCGTATTGCCTACCCAGCACCAGGCATGGATTTTCCAGCTATACAGACAGCTTTGTGCCTCCATCCGGGCCCTCAAATCCCATGAACCCTGCCATTGGCAATGGCCTTTCACCTCAGGTCAGTCCTGTGTTTTCAGACAGAGGATTTGCTGTATACCAGAACCAAAGAGTCTATTCCCTGAGGCCATAGTATAATGAATTGCCAAATTTAAACCATAATGTATTCTTTATACAAGCCACATGATTTCAGTTTGCTAGCTTCCTTTTTTTCCTATTCGCTGCATCAAAACTCATAGCTTATATTTAATTTTCAAGTAATCGTGCACACTTCATGTTTGCATTCAGTTATCAAGCATTTGTAATGTGCCACTATTTTCCTTGAGATCCATTCCTGGGCAAAGAAAGTTCAAGGAGGGTGATCTTGTCTTGTCTAATCAGCTTTTTATGAATACAATGCCTTTTTAAGAGACTATAGGAGTTTTACAAAATGGCCCTAGAAGTAGCAGAGAAGTTATAGTGGGAGAGGCGCAGCTGATGAGCAGTACACATTGGGATGAGCTATAATCAAGTTATAAATACATAAATTAGGAGACTTACCGTTCTTGGGAAATATATAAATGCTCAAATGCCATAATTGTTTTTCTAATTTGTGTGAGCTTTTCTTAGGAGATCATGTTAATAAATTGCCTTGATAATTGAGTGTCAGAAGGTTGGTTAAATTTCCTACAAGTGGCATCTGTCTGCAGTTGACATTATTAGCAATTGCTTAAATATACAGTACTTTAGTTTATTAGTGTGAGCTTCGCCCAGGTGTTTGGAAGAGCTGTCCACTAAATTCTGAGAAATGTCACAAAGGGGATGCAATCTATAATTACAATCAGGAATCTCTTCAGGGCTGAGAGTGAGAGTTTTAACAGCTTTATCGTCTTTCTACCCTTTTTTCCTCTCAGTGGTTAGAAAAACAGAGAGAAGCTCAGAATGACACAAATGAAAAGTGAAAAGACAATTATACTCAATTACACACTAATCACTGACTATCACCACTGCCTAAGCAGTAAGAGGGCATTCTAATAGGCAGAAAATGAGATTTTAATGGCACAAAGGGTGGCCAAAATAACGACTCATATATCTTTGCCTCCTTCGTTTTCTTCAACTTGTGGTTTGCATCTCGGGAATACAGTTCCTGGTTCCTGCATAACGGTGATAACTCTGTGCAGCTGAAAAGTTCAAAGGCATTGGAGTTGAAAAGAATGAATAGCAAAGGCAATGAAATAAACATTTTTGCCTAAAGGCAAAAGTTCATAAACCCTTTTTTGTAACAGTAAATGTAATTAAGTTTCATAGATTCCTATAGCACATAGTGGAATACAAAACTTTATGGCTTTAAAACCTCAGTAGAAAAATACCAACATAAAAAAAAATGGATGTACTTCCAACAAGACTTTAATGAATTTTGTTTTGAAGAATCTTAATTTCTAAATGCAATCTCCAACAAAAGGCATGACATTATATTAGTGGTTTCATTCTTTTAAATGACCAGATTCATAGTATGCAAGGCTTCCATAATTTAGACATAAAAATCTTTCCAGGGTTCCGAGTTAATCCATCAGAGGCAGTTTTCAACGTCATTTTCAGTGTAAGTCAGTTCTAGCTATGGAGAAGTGTTATTTTGTTCTTTCAAAAAGCTTTTATTCACTGTGATATGAAAGTTAAGTATTACCTTGAAGAAGTCCTGTGACATTTTAGTAAAGAGAGATCATTACCAAAAGGAATCGGTGGGACAAGTTTTCACGCCCAATATCTTATTGTGACCATCCTATAATCAAAAGGAGATCTTAAATCTGATAAAACAGACACAAATAGTTTCTGTGATCTCCAATTCTTGGAACCCAGCCCTGATTCAGTGGTCAGAATTGTCTTCATATTATGAAAGTTGGTCTGTGCTCCTTAGCATTCCCCTACCTTCCCCCATCCCAGTGCTCAGTACAGGGATCGGGAACCTTTGACATGCGGCTCGCCAGGGTAATCACCCTGGTGGGCCGGGCCGGTTTGTTTACCTGCCACATCCGCAGGTTCGGCCGATCGCGGCTCCCACTGGTCGCGGTTCGCCACTCTAGGCCAATGGGGGCTGCGGGAAGCGGCATGGGCCGAGGGATGTGCTGGCCACCGCTTCCCACTGCCCCCATTGGCCTGGGACGGTGAACCGCGGGCAGTGGGAGCCGCGATCGGCCAAACTCGTGGACGCAGCAGGTAAACAAAGTGGCCCGGCCCGCCAGGGTGCTTACCCTGGCGGGCTGCGTGCCAAAGGTTGCCGATCCCTGGCTTAAAGAATTTCTGGCCCTGCTTTGCACCTTTACCATGGGCCATAGAGGGAAGTTGGTCAATAGAAAAGAGTGTTGATGTCATTTGTTCATCACTTGAACATACTCAGTCACATCCATTCAAGTGGAGAGAGCTTTTGGAAGTTTATTGGCCTCAGTTTGAAAATGTTTCAAGTTAAACAAATGCTGAAGAAGACCCTCAGACAGCATGGCAAAAAATGTTTAGACAGAGCTGGCCCTTGGGCCGTGTTAAACTCATGGCTCTGGGACCCCCAGATTTAGGAACCTAAAGATGTAAGGAGAAGCTGAGCCCTCATGTTTTCATAAGTAAATCTCTATCCCTTTTGCTGGCCAGAATCACCCTGAAGATAGAAATTGCCCTAAACCAATTGCTGGGGTTGAAAGGAACAAGCAGCTGGGTTCCACTTCTGCAGCAGGAGGCTCCAGGGGTTGCCAGACACACACTTGTAATAAATAAAATGTCAGTTAAATTGGGGGTGTATCCCAAATAATAATTTTGCCAATCCTCCCCCAAATCCTTGGTTCAACCCTCCACTGAGTTCTCTGCTCCTGGTGGACAGGAAATAGTCATGTCTGGAGTGAGATGGCAATAAAAATTGTTTGTCAGGCCTGTCCAAAAATTATAAAGCCAATTCTGCGTTTAGGATTTTATCAAAGAAAAGGTAATGAGAAATTTCCCAGGGAGACACAAGCCCTAAGTTGGTAGAGCTGGGAGTGAGAAAAGGTTTTTAATGAGAAATCAAGAGCTTCTTTCCTTGCTGTGGGATTTTGATCTTACTGAATCTGTGTAGTGTAAGTGTGTGAGCCATTAAAATGATGTCTACACCTATGACTATCTCCCTCTAGCAAGCACTATAGAAAAACTATATACAAAACACAAGCTGAATTTATGGTGAATTATTCAAGGAAGAAGAAAAAAATTACACTACCCTCTGGAGAGATCCTTTGTGGTAAATAGAGTCCAGTGATGTATACAGCAAAGACTGGTATTAAGATTCATAGGACCTGATTCTCAGATGATGTAAAACACCATAGCTCCATTGACTTCAGTTTATACCAGGCGAGACTCTGGCCCACAGTTCTCTGAACTCAGTTTATTTTGATGCAGGGTATTCCATTTCTATTTTTGCTCCTGAGCCTACTGACAATTAAGTTTCTGGTTTAAGACAAACATTGTAGTCAAATTGAGATCAAAGGGGGAAACATTACAAGAGGTGCTACGGTGCTATAGTTTTGTTATTGTTTGTTCATTTTCTCACTGTAGTAACAAACTTTAATCAGAAGCTTGCATGTGTCTGCATATTTTTTGGGGGGAGGGTGAAAGGATGGAATGTCAGCATCCAATACACCTGGCTTCCTGTGCTAGTGACTCTCTGGAAAATAAGATAAAGTTTTGTGTGTGCAAGTTTAAAACAAAGAGAGGAGTGGGAAGTCCTAACTGTCTTCCTAGCATTCTGCACGTTCAGAACAAAGAGATGGTCTGCAGATCTCATCAGGGTGATTGAGTATTGGTCTGCTAAGTCTGTTTTACCCATTATTACCTGGCTGTGGTGAGAAATCCTCTGTGTTATAGACTTACAAAGGGTTGATCTTTATAGAAACAAGGCAGTGATTAATAGTGTAGGGAATTGGTGTTAAGTATTGTCCTTGTTTGCATTTTACCAAAAAAAAAAAAAAAAAATCCATCTCTGCCAGTGAACTGGAGCTTTTTAAGTATAATGTCAGTATTGAGATTATTAGTGTGTAATGTATGTAAATTGCATATTTTGTGTCGGCTATGCCTATTATGCAGCTTCTTGGTTTTCATGCATATATTTATTGGAATATTGTAGTTCCCTTTCAAATTAAATTTCAATTGCTCAGTGCATTTTCTTTTGACAAACATTTGTTAATCCTGAAATTTATTAGGGAGTAGCATGTGTACAGAACTCAAGACGTTTTCTGATTTGGCATGTCATTTTCAGATCATGGCATTAACAATTACCTCAGATTCTTCAGATGTAAGGCAATGACTCTTTGTCAAAACATGTTTCTTTCAATTGAAGGTGTATGGTCTTACTACAGATCTGATTATTACAAAGATAGGATTTCATCATTTTAATTTTTTTTTATATAAGTTGAGGAAAAAAATCTCTTTCAGTGTGGCATGGGAATCCCTTGACCTTTTCTTGTTCTCTTTATAAATGTAAAGGCAGTAAAGTTTACCCAGATCCATGTGGTTCAGGCAGTTCCTGTTTCTAAAGAGCGCTATTTCAGAATCTATTTGGGCTCAGATCCAGACACAAGGATATTTTCATTGTTGTTGTTCATCAGGCCACTCCTTTTCTACATTTACAAATCCACATTGGTTACAAAGCCTTAAATATCCACTGTTAAAAGAAAAACATCAAGGAGTCTGGTAGCACCTTAAAGACTAACAGATTTATTTGGGCATAAGCTTTCATGGGTAAAAAACCTCACTTCTTCAGTTGCATCTGAAGAAGTGAGGTTTTTTACCCAAGAAAGTGTATGCCCAAATAAATCTGTTAGTCTTTAAGGTGCCACTGGACTCCTTGTTGTTTTTGTGGATACAGACTAACACGGCTACCTTCTGATACTTGACACTGTTAAAAGCTTTTACCACGAAGAACCAGAAGAGCAGGTGGTTGTAACCTGTTTCCTGATGGATATATTTTTTCACCCCATCCACCCTAGAAAATCACTAAACCCTCACTTCCCAAAAGTGGGTCATACTAATAGAATTGGAGGCTGTATATGGTGTCCTTTTACAGTGGTA